GTTCCCATAGAAAAATTATTTATGAGGTTATTTCCCTGTTTCTGGTAATAAAAGGTACCACAATACACCTTAAATACTTCAGTGCCCTGAACATATAATTATATTTAACAATACGTCAAATGTTAAACATATTATCACAGTAAATAAATTGCAAGCTGCTTGGGCGAGCCCTCCTTTTCACTTTTCGTTGTTAACCTCCTTGTTTACTATGTTACATGGTTAGGTGTATTTGGACACTGGCACAAGTTTTGTTATTTCAGCTGTTTACCAAAATAAATTCAAGTTACAGTTAATTAATATGGTCTTAAAATGCAGTCTCTTAGCTTTAATTTTAGGACATTCACATCCAAATTGGAGGAAGGTATTAGGAATTATAGCTCTTTAATATGTAGCTCTCTCTTTTTCAAGTTCCAAAAGTAATTAGACAATTGACTCAAAAGCGGTTCCATGGACAAGTGTGGACTATTCCTTTGTTGTTTTTTTCATCAATTAAGAAGCTAAAATGTCTGTGGTTGATCCCAGATGTGGCATTTGCATTTGGAAGCTGTTGCTGTGAAGCCACGACATGCGGTCAAAGGAGCTATCAATGCAAGTGAAACAGGCCATCCTTAGGCTGCAAAAAAATCCATCAGAGAGATAGCAGGAACATTAGGAGTGGCCAAATTACCAGTTTGGTACATTCCAAGAAAAAAAAAGAACACACTGGTGATCATGTCCACGGAACGCAACAGTGGTGAGTAATCATAGGATCCTTTCCTTGTTAAAGATAAACCCCTTCACCACATCCAGCAAAGTGAAGAACCGTTTCCAGGAGGTAGGTATCATTATCCAAGTCTACCATAAACAGAAGACATCACAAGAGCAATGGTCACCACAAGGTGCAAACCATCATAAGCCTCAAGAATAGAAAGGCCAGATTAATCTTTGCCATAAAACCATCTAAAAAGCCAACCCCCGTTCTGGAACAGCATTCTTTTGACAGATAAAACTAAGATTAACCTGTATCAGAATGAAGGGAAGAAAAAGAACAGAGAAGGCTTGGAAGGCCTCATGATCGGAAGCACACCACATAATTTGTAAAACACGGTGGAGGCAGTATGAAAGCATGGACACGCATGGCTTCCAATGGCACTGGGTCACTAGTGTTTATTGTTGTGACAGAAGCAGCCAGATGAATTCTGAAGTGTATAGTTATATATTGTCTGATCAGATCCAGCCAAATTAAGTGAAGTTGATTGGGCAGTGCTTCACTTTACAGATGGACAGTGACCCAAAGCATTCTGTGAAAGCAACCCAGGAGTTTAATGCAAAGAAGTGGAATATTCTGCAATGGCTGAGTCAATCAGCTGATTTCAACCCGACCTGATGCATTTCACTTGCTGAACACAAAACTTAATTCAGAAAGACCCACGAACAAACAACAACTGAAGATAGCTGCAGTAAATGCCTGGCAAAGCATCACAAAGGAGGAAACCCAGTGTTTGGGGATGTACATGTGTTCCACACTACAACCAGTCATTGCCTGCAAAGGATTCTCAATAAAGTATTACAAATTTACATTTTATTTATTTGTCCAATTACATTTAAGCCCCTGAAATAAGGGGACTACGTATGAAAATGGTTGCAATTCCAAAAAGTTTCATATAATATTTTGTTCAACCACTTGGATTAAAGCTGAACGTCTGCCCTTCAATTGCCTCTCTGTTGTTTCATTTTAAATCCATTTGGCATACAGAGCCAAAATTACAAAAATTGTGTCAGTGTCTAAATTTTTGTGTCTCTAACTGTATGTTATATGTTGTACGTTGCAGCCATGCTTGTTTACCATGTTATATGTTGTTATGCGTTGTAATCATGTAAGAAAAACAACTGCGTTTACTGCATCTATTTAGCTGTAGAGATTGCGAGCCTAACTGGAAGACTAGTCACTGTACAATGCTGCTGAAAAATAAGGCGCCGTTGGCAGCTTTACTGACAATAAATAGAGAAAGTTGTGGCATGTAAGGATTGTAACTGTTTGATGCTCTACTAACCAATGTATTATGTTATTGTCCCAGGACTGTTTGCAAGGATCAAGTCATCCCGAAAGCAGGACGTCTCAAAACAAAGGTAATGTCACCAAGGCTGGCTGATTACCGTCACTCAGACTTAGAACTGTCTATCCCCCTGACCTTGAGACCATGGAAATAAAGTGCTCTGTAAAGATGCCATTGACAGGACAAGCAGCATAATGAGCATGGTGTTAATTCATTGTGCATAATAAATACTGAACAACTTAACAACAAAAGACCATTGAGAGACAGCATGTTCTTTTATGACCAACAAAGACCAGTTTACCCAAAGGCTCTGTCTGCTTTTGAAAATGGTTACTTGCTAAACAAACTAGCATCTCAAGAGCAGGTTAAATTACCTTCCCATGCACACACCCTGCGGGTCACATTAGTTCTGAGCACTTTATTACATGGGGCAGTGCACTATATGGAGGGCTTATTATAGGCTCTGTGGGTGGTCTTTCAATAATTAAACTTTCTGTCCTAAGAGCAGTACAGAGATGACAGACTACTCCACAGGGTTAGCATTCCAGGGGATCGCAAACATGGGCAGAGCCCATAGACCTGATTCTTCAGGTAGCTTAGACAGTAGGAATCCTAGTATACGTTCACGGTACGTTATGGTGAGGTTAAAAATCCAGAATTAGACTCTCAGCAGCCTAAAGTTTTGTGTCTATCACCTACATAAATGCTGCAAACTCAAACACTCTTGTAGGCATATAAATCAATTAAACATATATCCAGCACTCCCAGATCCTTGTACATTGACATGCACACACAGTATATCAATTTAACCCTAGCTGGGCATTTTTATACAGATTTGGGTCTAATGCATAGATCTGTATAACTTGGCTCTCATCAAGCTGAACCTGAGTTTTGTTTCATAAGTGATATATCTGTTGGACATGTAGTATGAATTAAGATTAGGATAAAATAATGTGCAAGAATCTCTCTGGTGCATGAGGTACAGTCCAACAAGTGCTGGTATACATCACCTACACACCAAAAGATAGATTTTTGTTACTTTTTATATTTACTGTAAGTTATTGCATGTCTGGCTTGGAGCCATCAGATTTTTTTTTTTTTACTATGACGTGAGTGTGTACGCTTCATGTTGCCGAGATGAAGAAAGTCCCATTAGTAGATAGTGGGAGACCTTTGCCAAGATAGCCTGTAGAATTCAGAGTTAAAATCTAAAAATTACATGCAGTGTGGGATCGTTTGCATAGAATTATGTGGCATTCTGGGAGTTCGGCAGAAATGTTTTTTCTTTAACAATTTACACCAACTAAAATAGATAACAGAAAATAAAACATAAGTAATAATGTCTCTTGCCCAAAGTGTAATTAAATGCATCGGTCAACATTATTATTAATACAGATAACAAGGTATAGGTGACCCTTGTGGAAATGACTAAACAATTACATTATTTTACTCTGCACTTGTATTCTAATATATTTGGTTCTATGACCAAGTGCATTGAATTTAAATTACTGTGATTGCTGTAAGAAAAGTATACACATTACACATATAAACATTATGTCGCTCATACAAAGTCACTGTGTCTCAAGAGTTCCTGTACTAAACTTAAAGTTTAGCCGTAGTAGGAATGTCATATTCCCTGAATGTCTTACACCTTCCATTGTTGGGGCCATCGGCCAAATGGACAACCACACTGCTCGTATACTGCCTGAATTTGTTATCAGTAATATGTACAACTATATTTTCCTTATGCTAACTGATACATTGCTGGTGAGAGGAAGTCCCCCTTTCCATGCTGATACCAGCCTAGGCACTGCAGCAAGTCACCTTACAGGACAGGGGACCACAATAGTGGCAGAGGTGGGGACTCACAAATGGAACAGGTGACCAAAGGAGGAAAATGATGAGTAGTTACAAACAGAGTTGGGAATTACATGAGGGACCGAGGTGGGAATTTGGACGTGGACTGCCTGAGGTACAGACGTAATTACAGACATAAAGAATCAGAGCTTGATCTTTATTAATTGATTGATAGATTGATAGAAGACTCAGAATACATTGTAATGCTTCAAAACCAAGTGTTTGGATGTGGGTTAGTTGAAGTGATAGGTTATTTAAAGGGAGGGGGTTTTAACTTTCATTTTCTATACCCACTTAACCCTTGACTAAAACCCTGGGATTGGTAATGGGCTATCAATGTGATGTTAGTATAGTTCGTACTTCTACATGCTTTGTGTCATGATCAGTGATGTAATGTCTTGTTCATTCATTCATCTCATTTCAAATGCGAGTGTTTTGCCATATGTCTTTCATCTTGTGATTTATTGTTTATTTGCAGATAATTCTGAGCATTACCTGGAATTCTCCAGCCGTTTCCCTCGTCAAAACTGGGAACTTTCTCGACAATTCTTTCTGAAAAAGGACAGTGACTAATAAAGAATATGACCCTTCATATTTTTTAATAAAACTTTTTATGCTGACAACCTGTTCTGGAGATTGGCTCTCTATAATGTGTACAGTTCTGAGATTAACTCAGTGTAATTATTCTTGTTCCAGATCATGTAAAAATGTTTAATGCACACTATTTATATGTTTATTGTATAGATATTGAGTGGTGTAAGATTTTGATGACATGTTTGTTTTGCCTGACATTGTAGGCAGCACTGTTTGTCAATCGTTTCCTGTTATTTTACACGTTTACTGCAAGGTAATACTTCCGTATACTGGTTTTTCAATTTGACTCTGCAAAAATGGCAGATTTAAGGTTAAAGTATAATGATGTTAAAATAAAAGCTATTCAAATGTAATACTAAAAAAAAAAAAAGTCTAAAATGAACCTTTCTGTCCTATGTAACTTGCAATAAAATAACTTATTCTCTTTCTAGTGTTATTGAGTAATTCTAACCGTATTTATATAGCGCCAGCATATTCTACAGTGCTTTACAATTATACAGTGGCGTTATCTTGCAGCAAGTAGTTCACAGACAAAATAATGTTGGCAGATACAGGACATTAGGCCCAACTCCAATGAGCTTACTATCTAGGAGGAAGTGGGATCAGTGAAGACGAATGGAAGATCAATGTGTTGTTGGGGTGAGATGTTGATGTTAAAGGACCACTCTAGGCACCCAGACCACTTCAGCTTAATGAAGTGGTCTGAGTGCCTGGTCCAGCTAGGGTTAACCCATTTTTTAATAAACATAGCAGTTTCAGAGAAACTGCTATGTTTATTAATGGGTTAAGCCTTCCCCCTAATCCTCTAGTGGCTGTCTCATTGACAGCCACTAGAGGCGCTTGCGTGCTTCTCACCGTGATTTTCACAGTGAGAGCACGCCAGCGTCCATAGGAAAGCATTATGAATGCTTTCCTATGCGACCGGCTGAATGCGCGCGCAGCTCTTGCCGCGCGTGCGCATTCAGCCCAGGAGGAGGAATGGAGGAGGAGAGAAGGAGGAGAGCTCTCCGCCCAGCGCTGGAAAAAGGTAAGTTTTTACCCCTTTCCCCTTCCAGAGCCGGGCGGGAGGGGGTCCCTGAGGGTGGGGGCACCCTCAGGGCACTATAGTGCCAGGAAAACGAGTATGTTTTCCTGGCACTATAGTGGTCCTTTAAGTTTTGTGTGGAAGAACCATAGAGTGGATTTTGAGAGTGTGAAGTGGACTATGGAAGCAAAGGTTTTGTGTGGCAGGACGAGGACTGTTGTAACACGAGACGTTGGCTGAGATGTTCAGCTTTTCAAAAGATAATGTTGATGAGTTTTAAGAGACTTCTTATAGAACCAGTGGCTTGTCAAACGAACATCTGATAGCATGAGATAGGGCACTCTGCAGGAATGGTGCAGATCTTGAGAAGGTCCTGTAGGTGAGAATTTGTAGTGTAGGAACTAGCAGGCGAAAAGAAACAGTCACTGGTGGAGTGATCGAAAAGTGGTGGGTGTATTTGTATATTAAAAAGGAAATTAAATGAGAGGGAGAATTGTTAAGGGCTTTTAATAATTAATATAGAAGTGTCAGTAGCTTCAACAGCAACCATGTCTGTTTGTCTCTTTATGTCTTCAAGACAGTTTGCTGCTTAAACCATCCATCAACGTAATATGGAGTGAGTTGATCTTGGAGCTATATGCACAAGACCAAATTTTCAGATTCAGTCCCAGCTGAATTGTAATTTAAAAAAACAAAACATTATTTGCATCAAAAGCACCCCACAAGCTAACCCTGTCGCTCCAGGAGTAACATTAACTCTTGCCAAGGTCTAACATGGTCATGATGAGATAGGTCTTCTGTAATTAAACTGCCTAGAAGTGTTAATAGGATGGATATGAAACTGTTTACTTAAAATTATATGAAAATATGTGGAACAATCTTTTTTAATGGCATTTCTTTTGGAATTAATGATTTCCCTTTTTTTATTCTTTTTTTTTCATCTTGGCAGAAACAGTTTTAGCATGTCGGCTTGTGCAAAAGCCTATTTTGAATATCAAACATTTCCACTTTGTTACACATTAAGTTATTCAGCACGATATCTTTTAACTCTGCTCAATTCTACTGTCCACCAAGGATTTTTTATGTTTAAGAGAAATAAACTGATTATAACACGAACAAATACCCATCGCGTACTTCTAACATTGTACCACTTGTTTTTGTCTTATGTTCCATATCCATGGTGCTTATCCAGCCTTTTAGGTCGGCCTTTCGTACCCGGCGTACGCATGGTCCCATGTAAAGCATGGGATAGAAGGAAAGGAAGAAAGAAAGGAAAAGATAGACACTTAGAAAGAGATGAGGGGACGTGGGCATGCGCGGCGGAGGACGGGGGCACCCGGCTTCATACACCAGTACCTGCATTGCAGTCCTGTTGTCTCGGTCTGGAGCGGTTGTCCATCCTGCCTCCCAGCCCTAGGCAGGTCTCCTCTCACTTGCCTCCCTATCCCAGTGGGCTGTAATCCCAGGGTTCCCATGTTCTTTGGAACGCCACTGTGGTACCTGTCACCATAGCTGTTAGATCATCCATCATTCTACTATCCTTGATCCTGGAAATTACTCCCGTGAAGTTCGGTCCCTCCAGTGACAGCCATGCTGTTGCTATCGCTCTGCGTGCGCTTAATGTGATCTTGTGCAGTAGTTTCTGCTCCTTCCTGGTCCACCCCTCTAGAGGCCTGTTTAGCAGATATACCCAAGGGTCTAGAGGTGGTTTTCTATTGAAGATCTGTTGCACTAAGTTCTCGACCGATTTCCAGAATCTATTTATAATTGGACAATCCCACCACATATGTATATATGTTCCTCTAGTTCCGCAGCCCCTCCAACAGTCATCTGTGCTTATTTTGTGCATTCTAAAGAGCTTCACTGGAGTGGTGTACCACCGGAACATGGTTTTCCACGACTGCTCCTGAAGTGTCACACACAATGATGTATTTTTGTTTGCTTCCCAGATTTCCTGCCATTCAATACCCACTAGAGTCTCGCCTAGATCCCGCTCCCACTGGTCGGTGTAGGACAATCTACCCCACTATGTGTTTTCGGAGCTAAGATGGGTGTACAGCAGCGTTATTAATCCTTTAGTTGCCTTCCCTGTTGCGCACAGTCTCTCAAAAAAGGTAATTGGCCTGCAGGCTACAGCTTTAATGTGGGGTCGGCTAGTGTAGTCCCTAAGTTGCATGTATCTGAAGAAGTCTGAGGGTGTTAGATGATGATGTTGCTTAAGGTCGTCGAACTGTACTAATTCTCCCCCCTGAAACATGTGGTGTATCCTCTGGAGGCATACCCTTTCTAGAGTGTGGAACTCTCTCGCTGCCGTGCCTGGAGGGAAGGCTCTGTTATGGAACAAAGGCATTAGTGGAGACGGTGAGGAGGCCAGTCCATATTTGACGTGTCGCATCCCATATACGTAGTGCGTTCAATATTGCTGGGCATGTCACCCTGATTAAAGGTCTGTGTTCCCTCGGCACCCACATCGTAAACTGGGGGAGGTCTGATCCCACCATGAGAGCCTCTATGTCGACCCATTTCCATTCATCTGGGGGAGAGTGCCACATAACAATCTGTGACAGTTGAGCTGCCAGGTAATAAAAGTAAATATTCGGCAGGCCCAGCCCACCTTCTGTACAGTACCTGCCTGGAAATCCTGTGTCTCTTGTTCTGCCAAATAAAGTTCCCTATTGCTCATTGTAAAGGGGAATTAATGATTTCAAGTGTGAAAGCTGCATCAAAATAGAAATTGGAAGTGTTTTATTTTTTTTTTTTAAGATTTAAACAGGATTCTTAAAAAAAAAATTTAAAAATGTAGATTTTAGATTTTTTTATTTTTTTTATAGCCAAAAACTAGTTACTAGCATCAGCCTAATCATGCTCTTACTTTAATTCATATTTATAAAGTACATTCAGACATCTTAACCTCTCAAACACAGAGACTGAAAGAATCCGCATGCTTAATGTTGGCAGTGGCATTGTTATTTATACATATTCCCTACTGATCGATCGCTCTCTGCTAAAGTTCATAAACTGGATCTCTTCCAAAGACCTTTGTTTTTAACAACCTTAAAAATATCCGGGCCCATACAGATCTTGTACCAGACAGCAGAGCGCGGGGAGTCTGTCTGGCAATCACTGTTAATGTTATTAAAGCAACACTTGGAACAAGAGGTTGAGTCAGGCCTTCCTCAAGTATGGCTCATGCAAATACATTAATTTGTTTCTACTAACTGAATTGTTTAAGACACAACAGCTGGTATGAAGTAAGGTTTATTCCCTACGTCCCAACCAGATCTGAGAGGAGGCTACTCGGTTGTCTTTTCCCACATGAGCTTTCCTGCAGAAGTTTATTTGATCTTCACTGACAGATCGAACATTTTAACAAATAAACATCTAGCAATTTATTGCCAAGGTGCAACACATTTCGAAACATGAACTCCTTCGCCAACCAGCCTCACCATCATGAGTCTATGTCAACCTCAATGGAGAACATTTTACCCATGCAGCAGTCTGCCACAGTCGATTTTTGGAAACAAATGTTTCCTGCAAAAACATAACAGTTGATGTGTATAAACGATCATATCTGAGTTGCTGTAGGAAACAGCATTTTTTACTTTGTCTAAATGTCTCTAGACTCCTTGGTATGCTTTGCTCTGATTTAATTGACAATTGAGAAAGTCTACCAAGTCTACTTACTGTTAATAAAACAAGGTGGTTCTGTGTGCAAAGCAACCACAAATTGTATGTTTTTAACAGAAAACTTGCTACAGCTGTGTCTCTATTACATCGAAACCTTAAAAAAAAAGATTTAGAGAGAAACAATATGACAGTTGAGGTCATCTTTTGGAATTCATAAATTCCAGAAGAAATACAAGTTAAAAAGACTGTTCCAGAGATTTTTATATCTTTTTGCACGTGGACTGTTTCATATCCATCTTATTAAGACTTCTATGAAGATGCTTAGTTTAACAACTTCAGATCCATTTCATCAAGACTTCTGTGAAGACTCTCAACTTCACTATTTCAGATCAAGCTCATTAAGAAGAAGATTTAAGAAGAAGATTTTCTTGGGGTGGGGAGTGGGGGGGAGTTCAGCTCCTTTGTAGACTTGGTGGTAGATTAATAAAATACCTAAAAACCTACCAATTACCATTGAATATATTTGTTTGTATTCGAAGGATTACTCCAATCATAACCACTAAAATCCAATGGAGTGATTATAATGCTAGGAGAACCCTGACCTGTTTAGCAATGGTTTGCCCCCTTACCTGAGCCCTCCATTGCTCCCTGGTGGTCTGTTGATGTGCTTCCGGGTTCTGCAGAAGCCACGACCCTCACTGTTCATTTATACGTTGCTCCAAGAAGTTCCGGGTTGGATGATGATGAGACCACAATAATGATGCTTCTGCAGATAGAGTTCCACCCAAAAATGAAACCTTTGATGGACTCTACATGTATATCTCTTCTAGAAGGAAACTACTTTTGATAAAGTGTTGTTAAGGATATGGGCCTGTTATTTGCCATGGTTATATCTTATAATGGACATTTTGTGGTGACAACTTGAAAAATGTAGGCAATAATAACTAAGTTAGAAAACAAAAACTCCTAGTTTAACCCATTTGCAAGCTTTTTTTGAAAAGGTTATTTTAGCCAACATAGACATATATGTGACGGCAGATAAGAACCATTCGGCCCTCTTGTTGTGGTAGTTTTTCTTCTTTTAAATATAGTTTCCTCCTTTACTGTGTTGATTTCCTTTATGTATATAAATGTTTCTATTAAATCCCCCTGTCTTGTCTTTCCTCCAAGCTATACATGTTAAGTTCCTTTAACCTTTCCTGGTAAGTTTTATCCTGCAATCCATGAACCAGTTTAATAGCCCTTCTCTGAACTCTCACCAAAGTATCAATATCCTTCTGGAGATAACGGTCTCCATTACTGCATACAATACTCCAAGTGAGGTCTCATCTGTTTTCTGTACAATGGCATGAGCACTTCCCTCTTTCTACTGCTAATACCTCTCCCTATACAACAAAGCATTCTGCTAGCATTTCCTGCTGCTCTATTACAATGTCTGCCTACCTTTAAGTCATTTGAAATAATTACCCCTAAATCCCTTTCCTCAGATGTTGAGGTTAGGACTCTATCAAATATTCTGTACTCTGCCCTTGGGTTTTTATGTCCAAGATGCATTATCTTGCACTTATCCACATTAAATGTCAGCTGCCACAATTCAGACCATTTTTCTAGTTTACCTAATTCGTTTGCCATTTGGCTTATCCCCCCCTGGAACATCAACCCTGTTACATATCTTTGTATCATCAGCAAAAAGACATACCTTACCATCAATACCTTCTGCAATATCACTAATAAAAAATATTAAATAGAATGGGTCCAAGTACAGATCCCTGAGGTACCCCACTTGCTTCGAATATACTCCATTGACTACAACCCTCTGTTGCTGGTCACTCAGCCACTGCCTTACCCATTCAACAATATTGAAATCCAAACTTAAAGATTGCAGTTTATTGATAAGCCTTCTATGTGCAACAGTGTCAAAAGCCTTACTAAATCTAGATAAGCAGTGTTTACTGCACCAACCTGATCTAATTTTTTATTTACCCAATCAAAAAAAATCAATAAAATTCGTTTGGCATGATCTCCCTGAAGTAAACCCATGTTGTCTCTGATCTTGAAACCCTTGTGATTTTAGATGTACAACAATCCTATCCTTTAACATGGTTTCCATTACTTTCCCCACTACTGAAGTAAGGCTTACTGGCCTATAG